TAACGTAAACTTGTGTGTGAATGAGAACTTAGTTTAGTACTCACATACTGTGACAGCCGCTTTCTGTCCGTGTGCTTCGGATGTGTGCTCTCAGAAAACCGTATTTCAGAAGTTTAAACTCATATGGTTTAAACGGCATGATTTCAGCGCGATCAAAATAGGCATTTTCAAAATGATATAATAAATTATCTGTGGAGTATTTTGAGCTGAAACTTCACAGACACATTCTGGGGACACCAGAGACTTATATTACATATTGTAAAAAGGGGCATAATATGTCTCCTTTAAGCCACATTCATTTGTTTCTCACTGATCTTCATTACCCTTCCAAAAAGTGCTATGGTAATGTACTTGGAATTGAATATATTTTGGTTTTTAATATCTTTGTGTACACTTATTTTAAAGAGAATGCACACACAAACAGCAATTTCAAATCAATGAAATTGTTTAGAACAACAATAAAAAAATACTAGAAAAAAAATACAAATACAAATAATGACTTTTAAATATATTATATTAAATACACATTATATAATTAAATAAATTAGAATATCAACATTATATATGCATAAATATATATTTATAGATTTTTTTTAGTCTGTGTTGACTCATAATTTGATCAGAATTAAGTTAAAAATGCACACACAAACAGCAATTTCAAATCAATGAAATTGTTTAGAACAACAATAAAAAAATACTAGAAAAAAAAATACAAATACAAATAATGACTTTTAAATATATTATATTAAATACGCATTATATAATTAAATAAATGAGAATATCAACATTATATATGCATAAATATATATTTATAGATTTTTTTTTAGTCTGTGTTGACTCATAATTTGATCAGAATTAAGTTAAGTAAAGTTTCTTTGAATGTTCGCCGGTTCCCGCCTCCTTCTTCCCGTGACTACGAACTTTGTTACAGAATAATAAAAATATATATTAAAATTCATTAAATATAGAAATATTATATACATAAAAATATTAACATACCATTTTTCATGCCATTTTCATGGCAATTGTGTGTATTTTCTTAATATGAATGGCTTTTCCAGGAAAAAATAATGTCCTTTTTATTTATTTATAACTTCAGGCATTTAAGTCTTTCCATCAAATTGTGTTTAATATTTTCAGATGGTGAAACATGTACTGTTTAACTGGTAGTACACTTTATTGAATACCATGGTACTCCTATAATGCATGACTTAAAAAACATGGTGGTACCATGGTACCATGCTCAAAAGCCTAGTACATTTTTCATAATATTTAAATGGTGTTTTCTCATAATATTTACAGATGAGGTCTTAGTTCTACTCGCTGAATTTTTACTTTCTTTAAACTTAATACTCATTACTTTAAATCAACCATAACAGAAAATCCATCCATCCATCCTTATTAAAATGCAGATTAGACTCTCCGTATTAATGAGGTTTAAAAGCAGCATAATATGATTATTCAGGATAAATTCTCAAACACAAAGGTACAGATCAAAGACTAAACACTTCTGATTAGGTTCAAAGACGTGCATTTAGATGTAAACACTTAACTCCGAACGTTATCATCTTTAAAAGCACCGGGGCAATAAATACACCCTAAGGGTAATTAATTCAAAGTCCTGCTAATAAGAAAGCGCCACCTCCATCCACGGCTCTCATTATTGAGAAAACTCTCCAGAAGCACTGATCCGTACCGCCGTGCCTTTAGCTGCTTGGAGTGCTGAGGTAAGGAAAAAAATTCTCACACACACACACTCACTCGAAGGCAGCAAATATGGCTTATAAAACACATCCAAGTAGTCCGGCTGACCTAGCTGTGACCTGTGACCTCATTTCAGCAGGATCCGAGCAGCTTGTTATTTCAAGAGAAACTACAGGCCTTTATGTGACTGATTTTCCTTTGAATCGTGACCCAGCCATGACGGAATGAGACAAACACAGGCGGAGCAGAACATGAGCAGAGTGCCAAAATAAAACTGAGAGAATCGTTACCGAGAGAGAGTGAATATGCCATAGCCTGAGGGACAGAAAAGCACACATTATGTTCACTTTATATCATTTTGTCCCTCTTTTTGTCAGCCCACCATGTCTACACAAGCCACTTTCACAATGCAGATGAAAATAGCTGTCATTTGCCTTCTGAGAGCTTAATGCTAGTCTATACAAACAGAGTTTGTTCACTTTATATCATTTTGTCCCACTTTTTGTCAGCCCACCATGTCTACACATGCCACTTTCACAATGCAGATGAAAATAGCTGTCATTTGCCTTCTGAGAGCTTAATGCTAGTCTATACAAACAGAGTTCGGTTATTTACAGGAGTGTCAACTGTGTTTTACGACCAAATACACAACCTTAAAATTGCAGAATAAGCTGCATTACGTTTATAGATCAAACTAAACAAGTTGTTGAACTGAACTTCAATGTACTGATGTACCTAGATGTATTTGTCACTCACAAAATGTTGCAAATGGAAGAGACAGAATAAGAGCGACAGATGGACAGGTCATCCGAACAAATCAGTGTTGGGAAAGCTACTTTGAAACTGAATAATTTAAAGCAATTTAATTATAGAAAAGCTACTTACTTAAAAAAAGCTTGGCTAAAGCTAAAAAAGTAGTTATCTACACAACAAGCTACTAAGATGAAAAGCTAAATATAGTCAAACTATTAATTGGGGAATACTATATTCATGAATGTATACCTTCAACCTCTAATTTACACTAATATACAACTAATAAAACAATTATTTGTCTTAGATATTGATGGACAGCTGCACTTAAATAATGACATATTTCACAATAAAAATATGCAAAGACTTATAATAATTTTCCCATGCTACTTTTTTTGAAAAAGTAGTTTGTTACTGGAAAGGCTGCATTGTTGAAAGCACTGTGACAACTAAAACTTAAATTAGAAACGTTGCAATTTTTAGAAGCAAGCTATTTCTCAACACTGGAACAAAACAACTGAAAAGTAAACATAAAAATATATACAAATTATTCACAAGACACCCCGGGGAGAAAAATGATATTTAGGCATTTGAATGGGGTTCAGAAAGTCTGGTTAAATATGTAAACAGATCGCAGTATGACTCACTGCAGTTCATTAGCTGCGGTTCATATGATCTGGTTCCTCTTTAAAAAGTTGCTTTATTGCCTGCGCTCCTTTGTGTTCATTTAGCTGAATGACTGTTTGCTTCATTTTTCAATGCATTTTTCACATATTTCATCAGGAAAAAAAAATACCAGAAGCTGTTGAGTCACATTTAATAATTTGACTAGAATCTTCAGTTATTAATGAAACAAACATAGTGCCGAGTTCATTTCACACTCCAAATCACATTTAGAGTTCTCAACAAACACTCCGCTATGAATAAATGATTCATAAATGGCTCTTGGTGAGTAAAGTGAGTGTTTCTGAGCTGTAGTGCTGTGCCCTCACCTGCAGGACGGTCTCTCCGGGCAGCATGTTAGTGAAGATCTCCACACTGTAGGACATCTGACCGAAAGTGGGTGTGTTGTCATTCGCATCGATGACCAGGATGTCCACCGTCACGGGTCTGCTCTGTTGAACGCCATCAGATGCCACCAGCTTTGGGGGGAAAAAAGAATAAATAAATAATTTCAATAGCATTATACAACACAACTCATTTTGGTTCTTTTTGAACATGTCAGTTCATCATTGGCTTGATTTATACATTTCTGATGTATAAATATTTGATCTATCTATCTATCTATCTATCTATCTATCTATGTGCGGTCAAATGTATTAAATCACATGTAAATATGTAAATATACACAGTACCCACACATATATTATGTAAACACAAACTTTCTATTTTGTATGTGATTAATCGAGTGACAGCACTAATATATACAAAATTTGAGTTTTATATTTTGGATATAATATAGCCTAGAATTTCACAACTTATAAATTATAAAAATCGAATTGTGTGTGTATATATATATATATACATATATGTGTATAAATATATATAACTACTATGCAATTTATGCTTACAATATAAAAATATTATATAATTAATATAATTATATATAATTTGACATTATACAGTAACTTCATGATTTATTCATGAATATCTTTTGCAATTTTAGTGGAAATCAAGATTTTTTTTTCTTCGTATTACTTTAGAATAGACCTGCTGATTTGATTTGATCTGCATCTGACGTATAGCACAGCATGTGGGCACTTCATACAACAAATTCTCAGTATTATAGAACAGCTTACAAATGTTATCGGCTAAAACTGCCACAGCAAACATTTGTCCAGAGTCTCCCACTGCGCTCCTTTCAAAGGCACTCAAAAGTGCTGAGCTAGCAGCCGTAGGTTACTCCGTTGTTCCTCGGCTTGCATTTCCATGAGCTTTTCCCCCAGAGAATCGTGGCAGTAAATGTGGATCAAAGCCCAGCGGTTCCTCAGTTTGAGCAGGAGAGGAGAGCTTTGCATACGTAAACATTGTATTGGAGAACAGCTCCAGGCCAGTGGGATCTCCAGAGTGGTTTGGTCTATAACCAGGTGGACTTTCATTAGCCCTAGGCAGGCTGACCGCTCGAGTGTGCCATTATTAGACACCTGCTGTTACTGACCACTTTCTGGGTTTGACCTTAAGGAGTGTATGGCTGCTGATTCTTGGAGATCTTTCAGCTGCTTGGCATCTGCTATATAGCTGAAATATGCGTTTTCAGTTCAGGCAGTGGGAGAACTTTTCATTTGGAATAGCAAAATTATGGAATTAATTTTTAAATATAAATTAGACTGACAAATAATGCTTATGCCATCTATTTCCACTGATATGACCAATCAAACACCCTATAATGGAATTAATAAATGATGACAAAATTAATGCACACAAGGTTTAAATAATAAGAAGGACAACAAAAATAATGATGTTGATGATGTTGATAATAGTAATAATAACAACGACAACAAAACAGCATCATCATTATCATCATAATCATCATCACCATCAACAACAACAACATTTTTATTCTTCTTATTATTATTATTAAAAATATAATATAATATAAAATACAATAAAATAGTTACGTTTCAGTGTTATTTTAGTTTCAGCTTTTCTCAAGGTCTCGCCCAGCGTCAGGCCTGTCCACTTAATATGTCTATATAGTTATTATTAATTTATTTCAGTTAGTTTTAGTTATTTTAGTACATGAAGTTAAACGAAAATGAGAAATGCTGCCTTGTCAACTAGCCAAAGTATTTTTATTTTTCATCATCATCATTATTATTATTATTAATTTTATTATTATTATATGTTTTATGATTTTAGTTTTAGTTAACTGTTGTAACCCTGGTAAGTTCAGCTCTACCGTAAGCTCTTCAGCTGTCTATCTGTTCCACAATGCCTTTGAAAACGATGTGAGAGTACTTCAGGTTAGTAGTCTCAAAGCTGCACATATTCAATCAAACACAATCAAAAGGCATATTATGGTACAGCAATAAAAAGAGAAATTGAAGAGACAGAACAAAGTGCAAGTCCAAGACAGCATGAAAGACAGTGTCATCGGTTCTCTCAGTGATCAAAAACTTCACTTTTTCCTTAAAATAACTTCCACCACAAAACACATCTCAGCGTCTGCCTCAGAAAATTGCAGCCCTGTTTCTGTCATTTAAAGAGCATTTTTACCCAGTTTCCCCTCTGTGTGCCTGGCCCTAATGGATTTTGAATAGGCAATGAAAGTACCAAATTGAATAAACAAAAAAGCAAGGCTAAAAAACATGTGCTCAGAAAAACCCACATATTAGAAACTCCCAGAGGAAGTAGCTCAGGAGACTTCAAGAAAGTCTCGCTTGTGTTTCATTTAAGATCTCCTCTGAAACTCAAGAGGAGAAACATGTGTGATTACTGACAAGCAGGAGACTTATGCACCAGTGTCCATTTGCTCTCCATTTAATGTCTTTGTTGTGGAGAAGAAACAACTGAGACATTAAAGAGATCTAAGTTTCGATTTTTCTTTCCAGCCGGTTGTGCTGAATGAGAGAGGGAGGATCAGAGGATGAGGGGAAGGGGAAAAGGTGTTTGTCAGTTAAAGGGAGGCAGGAGAGTCGTGATGGGAATTCAAACTTTGGCCTGTCAGAGGATCAACTGTCCAGCTGAACCCCCGAGACGTGTGAATGATGTGACCGCTCACAGCCAAAAAGAACACACTGCATGAACAATTCACCCTCACTTCATTTTTTTGGAGCTTGAGAGCCCCTGGTCATCATTCATTTTCAGTTTATGGAAGAGAGCTGCTCAATCATTCTGCTAAACATCTTCTTTTGCATTCCATACTCTTCTTCAGTGGCATCTATAGTTCCATGAAGAACCTTTAAAAATCATGGAACCTTTCCATTACACAAAATGTTCTTTAAAGTGGAAACATTTTCCTTAGATTATAAAATGTTCTTCACACTAATAAAATATGGTTCTTAAGAAAGGCTCTTTGGGGAACAGATAAAAAAAAAAACGTTTTTAAAAGTGCACAGAATAAAGAAAATCATGCAGGTTTTTAACAAGATGAGACGAGTAAATTATAACAGAATTGGACTTTTGGGTGAACTTTAGCATTAAAATCACACTGCAGGGAAGTGGACTTTGATTATGTTGGTCTCTCTCCAGGCCTAATAACTCTACAGCTAATTTCCTTTCATGTTCTTGTTACAGTCTGTTTGTTCTTTATATAAAAGAAAACATATTGAATGTGATTGGGCCTCTGTTTTGTGCTGATAAGCAGACTATTGTTAAGCCTTTCAAATGGATTAATGCTGATTATCAGAACCTAAATCATCAAGATCTTGCTGTGAGCAGGGGCGTGTCCAAGCGAGTGCAATGTGATTGGCCCTCCCAAAATTCTAAAGCACGATTGGCCAAAGCCGGTGGCCTATGTCATAAAGCTGCTTTAAATGGCTACAAATGTACGTTTTGAGTTTAGTTTGAGGAAACTGTTTTTTCAGGTTCAAGAAGATATATCAGGGTTGCCAGGTTTTCACAACAAAACCCGCCCAATTGCTTATTAAAGGGGTCATATGATGCGATTTCAATTTTTCCTTTCTCTTTGGAGTGTTACAAGCTCTTGGTGCATAAAAAAGATCTGTAAAGTTGCAAAGACTAAAGTCTCAAATCCAAAGAGATATTCTTTATAAAAGTTAAGAGTCAACCACACCTACATAAAAACGGCTCGTTCTAACACGCCCCAACATACCTACATCGCTCTGTGGGAAGATTTGCATAACGCCACCCAAATGTTCACGCAAAGAAAGAAAGCATAACTTTTATTCTCGCTGTAGTATTGCTGC